GGTTTTTAGAGGTGTGCCTGGCTCTGCTGGTCACGACCATGACCGGACAGGCACATGCTTTGGCCCTGGTGCAATATGGAGCCAATCTGGAGGTGGCAGCATAAAATGCAAAAACGGAGAAGCCCGAAGTTTCCGAACCATCAACCCATCCCAGCCGTCCTTCCTCGAAGTCCACATCGCTATCCACCACACCATCCGACGCTGCTGGCATCTCAACCGTGGAAAGCCTATATGAAACTTCCCCGCACTTTTCAACATGTGGCCCCCTTTTTTGGCTACCTTTCACGTTATTTTCAATGCGCAGTCAACTGGCGCCTTCTACTTACGGACAGTCGACGCCATGAATGAAGCAAACGACGCTGAGTGGGTTAAAACGGCGATTTCTGACAAAATCTTTTTCAGTCGTTTTTTGGCATTCAGAAGGCCATTTAGCGGAAATGAACCATAGTTTTATACTCAGTGCTCATGCCGCTATACCATGCAAAAAACCATTTTCAAAAAGCGTCCCACGCCCTGAAAGACCTTCCTTGTTAGCATTCTGTAGTAGACACTCCTTATGACCCATCATGTTCTGAAGGTAGAAGGGTCGATTAGGCCTGCTAGGAAAGAAATAGGCGCATGGAACATACAACTCTATGGCATGTCTGAGAATACACAAAAACATCAAATATTACACATCCACGAAAGAAACCGACTCGAAAGAGTCGACCCGTAGCACGCTAAAGAAATAATTCATATTTAATTAATAAAACAAAAGGGATAAAGTGATGAGAGAGTAATCACACTTGGGACTCATTCTCTCGAGAACGGGTTCACTAAGCACTTCAACTCCTGTAATGTCAAAAGTGATACTAAAGTGGTCGCTTCCACCAATTGGTGACTTAACTAAAACGATACCAATATCAATTTATTACAGAAAAGCAAATCTAAAAGCAAATCGGTTGCCAATTTTCTCTGGAACTCCTACTATCTCAATGTTTAATATTTCGCTATTCCACCTTGTTCTGCTTTATTTGTCTTTGACTGCTGCTCTTTTGTCTCGTACCTTTACTAATTAGTTGCTTGATTGGTGCACATCACTAATCGAACAGGGTCCCTGGTAGTGGCCTATTTCTTTCCTTTTCCAGTGAGCTTTGTTCTGTTCTTTTCCGTTTTTTGTTCTGCTCCTTGGTTCTGTTGGAATTTTCATATTACAGTAGTTCTCCCCGGTGTCGATGGCGCACCCCTCGGTGTATAATAAATAAATAAATAAATAAGTAAATCTAGGATACTGGAACCTCTGGTGGGTTCCTTTATGTACTGCGCGATTCTATGACATGCAAAAGTATTGGACAGCGGGTGTGTGATGTCACTGGAAACCTTCCACTCAGCCCAGTTTACGTAATTGAGGCTGCAGTCTCCCACGACAGTCATAAAAAAGCGACTACTGCAAGGTCGCTAACGGCGAAGCTAACAGGTAGTTGTTTGCTGAAAAAGTGGAAGATGGCCTATAAACTACTACAAGTCTAACGTAGAAGTCAAGATGCATAATACCCGCGGTTAAAATTTTATAACTCTTAGGAATAGATTCAGATAGTACCGTAATGAAGATAAAAGGTTTCCTGATGACATCGCTACCCCACATCCAGCCCTGTGGCTCCTGTCACAATTAAGACAGCAAAATCGTTTATCCAGCTACCCGCATAGATGCCACAAGATGTTGCCTTTTGAACCAAGTTTCAGAAAACAGATAAACATCGTACTTGTCACATGAAACCGTATCAAAATAGGAGCTACTTTTTTTGGGAACGATCTGTCATTGTAATACAATACCTGGGTATTTGATAATGAGGAAGAACAATGTGATCCAAAGGGAAGGCACAGAGGATAAGAATCTAGCTTCCCTGAACAGCGCCGATGCATGTCGTGAAGTTGTCAACCGGTGAAAATTAGACGATGGTAACACAACCTTGAATAATCTGTCTCTGGACATGATTGGGCGTCCAAGCCCACTCGCAGCAACGGGTAACAGTCAACATTTAAGAGCACTACAATGCTTAGAACACTATTATTGTCAAAAAAAAAATCCTTCGGATTCTACATCCTTTCAGTTTACGACTTTTAGTTTTAGTTAATAACTATCGAACGGCGTCGCTCAGATTCTTGGCAATCAATAAATTCGGAACGAACAGAATTGACAGGGTTATCTACAATAGGTTCGGCACTAGTAAGCGGAACATCAGGAGCGATTCCTTATTTTTGGCGCAAAATAATATTATCTTGTCTTAACTCATCTCGCTCAACTTAGAGTCCGCCTAGTTCTCTTATCAGTGTGTTTTATGAGCCTTAACACAGTCAGGAACCAGGACAGAGGCATTGACATGACACATGACATCATCTAGTCCAGCAGGTTGCGGCGGAGAAGCCACAGGAGACGAAGACGAAACAACCTCCTTGTGCCTTTAAAAATACCTCGAAGTAAATATAATTGGGACCGAGGGCCGTACAAGTTTTCTCGCGCGTGTTTCAATGTTGGTAAAAGGAAAGTGCTATAGCTAGAAATGAAGCGCAGAAATGTTGTTCTAATTTAGTGTCATTGGTGTAAACAATAGGCTTTATAAAGCGATTACTTGAATAAATATCAAGGTCTTTATAAAAGATTCCACTGGAAGAAAGCCCGTCGTGGAAACACTGCAAGAACAGCGGGAACAAACCCGTCGTGGAAACACTGCAAGAACAGCGGGAAGCAAACCGCGTGTTTCAATGTTGGTAAAAGGAAAGTGCTATAGCTAGAAATGAAGCGCAGAAATGTTGTTCTAATTTAGTGTCATTGGTGTAAACAATAGGCTTTATAAAGCGATTACTTGAATAAATACCAAGGTCTCTATAAAAGATTCCACTGGAAGAAAGCCCGTCGTGGAAACACTGCAAGAACAGCGGGAAGCAAACCCACAACCACCCCTGACAAGAGAGAGCACTACCCATGCGCCATGCAGGCGCTTGCGGTGGTGCCGACAATTGCGCCCTTCAACTGAAACTATCTGAGAACAAATTTTTCATACTTCTCTCGTGAATTTTACATAGCAGTTGTGACTTCTGACTTTGTGAATAGCATTCTAAACTCTATCGATTCACCCAGCTCTGCATTCAAATTACCACGAGAAGTTGGAACCTTTCCCCAGCCAGAATTTCGATCAAAAAGATAGTTTCGGCAAGGCAAAAACAAATTAAAATTTAATTTGAAAGCTCACCAAACGCAGCTCCTCCATGACATTTGACGCATTTCACATTATTAGAAGTTCCTCCGTTGCAATAGCTGCCATCAGAATGATATTGCTTGTTCATCATTTCCTTCTGAAATCTGTACAGTTTGAAAACAAGTATGTTCATGCACACGTTACGCATTTATATGTAATGAACAACAAGTTATCACGAGGATTTCCAGATCGAAACTGACAGTCCAGCATGGCACTATTCAAAACTATGCAGCATGGCCGATCAAAAGCGCATGTCAAAAACATTCCTCAGACCGGATCTTGTGCCGTTGTCAATCGTCATCACGCTTTATGTGAATGGTCAAGAGTAAACAGAAGAATGTACCTAGACACTGCTTTGAATAATGAATATTCCAGGACTCTTCATGTAACACCGTTACTAGTAACGCTACGATACTGATAAAACAAAATAATTCTCTGAGTAGAAAGACTAGGGAATAAATAGAGAAATTATGGGTATGTTTCGGCAGTTTTTGTGCGCACCGGTTTACCATACAAGCTAATTCTTTTCAGAAGTAATCGAACTTAAGTTCTAATACATTGCAATTGAGAAGAGACCTCGATCCATTCATAGAGTAATCTGCACAAAAAAAGTTTTTGATGCTAAAAAGGGTCCATAGATCTTAACTGAAAGTTTAAGCAAGGAAAGGAGAATTCGGACATTGATGAAAGCTATCCGATATGAAAATAATGACAGGCAGAGAATGAATATCTCGTTCACAAAAATCAAAAAACAGATTGACGCAGGGCCAAGTTGAGCAATCAGGCGGAAAACGCGACAATTGAAAAAAAATACCGAAAATAGAGGGCACAAAGAAAGTACAAAAGAAGTAAGAACATTCAAAATTTCTGGGTCCATGGAAAATTTCTCCAAAGGTTGAAGGACAACAATAGCACTTTCACATAAACACAAATGTCACGGTTCTTCTTTTGATCAAGGTCTCGATTTCAATACGATAATCAGGAAATTAGCTGCCACGTGAACTATAAAGTCCATCAGCAGACGACCAAAAGCACGGACACAAGCCTTCGTGAGTAAGCAGTAAGCAATTTACATTACAACAAAATAACGAACATGAATTGAAGTAGACATCTTCACTAACCTGGCTATGCTTGTCTTTCGAATCAACGACTAGATAACAATTGAATAAGGAAAATACTTCCCGAACAGCTTGAGAAACTTGAAACTTTGAAATAAAGGGAGCACCGAGACCAAAGAAATTGCCGTTATGATGAAGCTCGAGCCATTTTGAAAAGTGAAACGTTGCGATGACTTTCGAGCACTCGGTGTCGATTTTATTTATTTATTAAAAGACATGTGCAAACACATGTGAATAGGAATGCACAATTGAGAGGAATGCGAAGAAACCCGACCGACGATTGCGTCTACTTATTGGATGTTTCATATCCAATGTGTCATCTCTTCAAACAGCATAACTTTGGCTTCCTCTCCGATAATCAGAAATAAAAATCGTGGAAACAAAGCAGAAAAGAATGAGTGGTAGGATGTACTGTTTGCTTGTTCTTTTGTATAGTAGTGATAGAAAAGGAAACGATGACCAAATGGAAATCTCACTAACAACCAACCCAGTTCAAACTTACCAGAATGCCAAAATTACACCGTAGTCATTAGGCACGACATCAAAAGGCGCAAAGATATGAGGGTAATACGGCCAATACATTAACCAACTACGACTGAACGTGACATTTATTTACACATTCCAAGAACACATGTACAACGGAATGACCCTAGGTATTTCTTCACTTCCACTTGCTATGTTTTAGTTAATATNGAAAGTCCCTCCATCAATGGGGACCGGAGACGATTAGTTTAAGCCGATCATACGGTCATCGAAGCATTTAATCCGTATGAATAATTTTCCCTTCTCGATGAAAGGGCACTGCATGTTACAAAACACGAAAACGTATTGTACAAACGGTGAAAAAATCATCGTGCCAAAGTCCCGATTAGCGAGGCACACATCTCGAAAAACTGCATCGTCTGTGACAATTTCGCACCTGACGGCGACGGAGGAGGTGAGTTATCCACCTAAAACTATGCTCTCAAATAACAATAATGCATTACATGCCACAACAAACAGGTGGGTTTGCTTTTATACTGATTGCGTATTGCTCATTTATTTATACACAGTACCGGAGTTCAATGCAGTGGGACCGCTCACACCAATGAAGGTTCAATTGGAAAATTCAAGAAAAGCTAGAGGAGTGAGACCGTAGCGGTCACAAGCAATGTTCTGAGAGTAGGCATGTGATGGGGTTGCAACGAAAGTGAGAAGGAAACTCATCCTGGCCAGTTCTTTTCTGAAAGTAATGCTGCGAAACGCTTCAAGAGAAATCAGATAGAAGAGAGGTCATTTAGAGTTCTTGATTCACAAACGCAAGCTCGATCCAGTTCAAACATTCAAATAGTCCCAAAGACCCACTTCCATTGTCATGCTTTGAGTACGTACTCCGCGCATGCCAGGTGGTTTCGAAGGCATAGATACCGATGCATGACGAGATGAACAGGCACTTCCAGCTGGAAACAGGCAACCATAAAGACAGCGTAAAAAATAGAACGCCAAACTAAACGACGAAGGGTTTGCATTCAGATCACTATAATAGATTAAGACAAAACTTACGTGTACTTTCATCATCGACTAGGCTTTTGAAGTCCAAAAGGTAACTACGCTGGTCTACTTGGTACAGTTGTAAAGACATTTTTGGCTGAATTATAAAAGTACTGGAAAAATTGTAAGAATTATATCAAAGAAAATAAACCATGAAATACAAAGTTGCTATAAAATCTTCAAGAATAGAGGCGACTATACTGCAAATCAATGGGAGTTACAAATGTGTACTCCTTACTGATCTAGTCCACCAGAGAGAATTTTCATGTTACGTGGTGATAAGGACAAGATCAGCAATGTCTACAGTCCAACAGCAATAGAGAAGGGGGCGTTTTTTCCTATAGTTGAGGCCACATAATAGGATCCGAAGAGTGTGTCAGAAGACCTCCACAAAGAGGCCAAAACATTAGGTACATCATAAGTACCACTTCGTCACTATTGCTTTTAAGGAAGAATCTGAACTTATGATATGTGCATATGAAAGCAAGCAAGCTATATCATCACCAAACTTTTTTTTTAGCAAAAGCGGCGACCAAATCACAAATGTCAAAAAATGATCACAAATGTCAAATGATAGCGAGATTACTCCCAGTAAAAACATAAGAGCTCTGCGTGGTCATGGAACAGACTTTGAAAAGAATCACGTCAATGGGTCGTCCTTACTCTTCAAAGAACATCCCAGTCGAGACCCGATTTACAGATAAGTTACTGTTAGAGCAAAGTACCCACACGGTGGAAGAGTCGGAATATGGTGCTATGGTGACAAAAAAAAATCCTAAACAAGTCAAGGAAACAAAATACACGCTCCGCAGGTATACCCTTTGCGGCAACACCCCCACCTACTGTCTGAGCGTACGTAGTGACGCAATGAATGCTGCGATAAAGCGCACTTGTCGCCGGATAATTCTTCATACAAACTACCATAAGATAAAAAAGTACCGAGCAGACTTACAGGATCAGCGATTGGATTGTCAGGCTTTTTTCGCGCGATAACATGGTACGGATTGAGCACTTTCCATTCCATATCCAAGCTTTTCATCGCCCGAAACACTTCATACATGATATCTTCTGTAACTTGTGGTAAATTTAAAGGCATATCAAGCCGACATGCTCCTGTCTTAAGATGTAAAAAGAGCTACCAAACATGAAAAAATTTCTGCTACAGAAAACAAGACGAAACGTAGTAGTTCGAAGAGAAACTAGCGAATGACATATTAATCTAATAACTAACCAGGTCGACTTTGCGATCTGATTCCAAGATGCCATTTCGCCCTTTTCACGCCGGACTTGTAACCTGTGCTTTGCATGGGACTTGCACTAGCCAATGAAACATCTACACCAGCTGTATTTTCGAGAGTTGGAGTGATTTTATTGCTGACAGCAGCTAAACAAAACAGTAAAGTATGATTTATTACGAACGAAATGAAGCTTCATATAAACTTAAGAAACGGGTACGTTAGAATTACGGCTATTATTTGAAGTCCGCCTAGGAGACAACCTGAGTTCACCTGCAATGCGTTCAGGATGACGATGCTGATCCGAGTGATGAAGCTTGTTTGGTGCGACCTGATAGAATTCTTCGATAGTGAGTTTCGCCGCTGTAAAGCGACATTATTGAGTTTGTATTACATCGTTCACGGACCTCACTAGAGCTCAACTTTAGTAACTGCGCATGAACGATTGCGTACGCGAAATCATTGCAAGGAAAATTTTTGCAGATATGCTTAACTGTTATACAGACAACTATCATCTATTATGAAAATGGATTCCATTCGCTATAAACAGTGAGGCTACACCTCATAGAAAAATGAAGACGCGATGGATATGAAAGAATCCTTACCAAATTATATGTAGACATATACACATATATATCATTGCAATATATCACCTGTATCACCTGTCGCCCCGCTGATCATCAATTTCCTCGAGCGGGCGCCAGTAACGTCTCCATTCGTCCCTGTCACGAGCCACAGTGGTCCAGTGAATCGTCCTCGCTTCAGGGACACGAGGTCCAACATTCTTTCGTTCCTTTCGGCATCCCTGATCATCGTTCGATGACGGAGCTCGGAACTCCGGATTCCCTTCTGCACTTGGGCGTGTAGGGGGATTCCGTGCATATTCCTTTCCAAAGCGTGTTGAGCAACGCTGGCAGCATGCTCATCCTGCCTTCGTAGAGTCCAGGTCTCCGAGGCGTACTTCAAAGCAGGAAGGACAGCAGTGTCGAAAAGGTGAGCGCGGAGCCGGATGTTTTTTGTCTTCTTCACTACTCCCTCGATATTCTTAAACGCTCCCCACGCGCCGCGTTTCCTTCTGCACAGCTCTGGAGCTAGGTCGTTCATCATGTTGACTTCCCGACCTAGATACACATAGCTAGAGCATTCGGAGATATTCGTTCCGTTTAACGTGAAAGGAGCATCAGGTACCAGTCCGTTTTTCATGAACATCGTCTTTGTTAGGTTCAGCCCCAAGCCGATCTTTCTACAAGCACTATCAAACTCAGCCAGCATTCGTTCCGCCTGCTCGATGTTCGGTGTTATAAGCACGATGTCGTCTGCAAAGCGGAGGTGATGTAGGAAGCGGCCGTCGACCTTCACTCCCAAATCTTCCCATTCCAAATGACGCATGATATTCTCGAGGGCGGCACTGAAAAGTTTGGGCGAAATAGTATCGCCTTGCCGGACACCTCTCTTCACGTTGACAATGACTTCCTTATAGAATTGTGAAATCCTGGTCGTGAAGTTATCGTAGAGCTCACGAAGCATCCTCATATTGGGTTGGAAGGAAGTCCTGCGACACAATGAAGGTCTTCTTCAAACCATTTCTGAAATTTTCCACGCCAATCAATTTTCGGAATTATATTTACCAAAGAGGTCAACAACCTTCTATTATCCTTTGAGTAAATCACTGATGCCTTTTATCCAGGAGTGAGGAAGCTGTGACTCAAGGAAGTAATTGACTGCCGTTTTCAGATCACATCAAGTTACGAATTTTTTTCAACAACGGTATGCTCAAGAAGGCGGAGCGCATGGTAAGTAAAAGGGGTAACACTTAGGGAGTACGGCTGATGAACAATCTGGAACCACTTCGAATCGTAGAAATTTTGACGCGTGTTTAAAACGAAATTTCGACGTGCGCTGTCTCTCTGTAGGGACCTGATTTACGGTTTTGAACGTCCTTATCTAACCCTCTTGGCCAAATTTCGGAGTTCATAGGGGTAACCGATAGCTGTGTCCATCTATTCTGCGTTTAGCAACTCATAGTGAATGGATCGCTCCAACCTCTATTGAATCAAGGGACGATGCTTGCGTGACTTCGAAGGCTAGTATCTCCTCCAGTGAAGCGATCCAACCGATTGTTGACCGTTGATCGGTGAGCAGTGCCAGCAATGATTAGGTTGCTGATAATTTGAGCCGCTACACCCGCGGTTTTCCCTTGGCGTGCTTAGTAGAAGGTGAGGTACGAATCGGGTGTTGTTCATTCATTGACCGTAAAGCTGCTAAAGCCCACACGCGTGCCCTGTTTATTACTCATGTGTTGATTAACTGAGGAATGTCCTACAAGTTTATCACTCTTGCTACCGCATTCACACTGTTGATACAAGTTGTTGACGCATCAAATTTTTTATCAGGACTTTCCTTTCAACCTAATATATTGAGTAGGAACACCCTGGTTGCCCAGAGCTTCAATTACCGCTTCTGTATCAACGGGGTCGAAGGCTCTCTTCAAATCGATGAACGTAATACATATTTTGTACTCTCGTGATACTACAATGAGTCTTGTAAGAGTGTGGATACGATCGATTGTACTGAAACCTCTCCGAAACCTTGCTTGCTCGCATGGCTGTCCTTCATTTAATATTCTGCCAATCCTGTTCAGGATGACACGAGTGAAAAGCTTGTAGATTACAGACAGCAGGCAGATTGGGCGATAATTGCCAATATCGTCTGGATCTCCCTCTTTATACAGCGGCACAGTCTTGCTAGTTTTCCACGGAGAGGACACATTGCATTCCGACAGGTACCGCGTGAATAGCCTAGCCAGAGTTCTGACGATGACTGGTGAAGATCTTCAGATGTTCTGGTTTGATCCTATCGGGAGCGGCCGCCGTACAATTCATCGTCGACGTGATGGCATGTCGTATTTCGGAAGGGAGAGCCGACGGAGCGATAATATAATATATTGAAAATTATTATTTCATTGTCGGGGGAGGGAGTCGAATGCGAGGGGTCGTCCCTCAGACGAGTTCAATGAACGTCAAGAGACTCCATCCTTTATCAGCAATCCGTCATTGGCTGCTTTCAGAGCCCGACTAAGGGCTCTGAAAGCAGTCAGCGGCGGATCACTGATAGAGGATGGAGTCTCTTGGCCAGCGGCGCGCGTCCGGCCGTGTTGTAGGGTAGACCGGTTTAGGATGGAGTCCCGCGGAAATGGATCATGGTTGGACGCGGCGTGCGAAGAAGGAAGCTGGAGAAGATCCAAGAAGATATAGAAGAAGGATAAAGGACTGTATAAAAGAGGAGATGGGTGT